TAGTAATTTTGCTTAAAAATTGACCCCAGTCTCTAGTAACAAAGGCTAATATGGGTTAACCACCCCAGGATAACTGGGTTGCCATGTGTCACTCTAATTGAATTATCTTTCCACTATATGGGGTATCTGGGGTCAGGGTCTCTGTCAGTGCTTTCTAATCCACTGTCATCAGACAAAGAAACCATGGAGGACAGCCCACAGGGGGCTGCGCCATGTAATGTAAGTATTATTTTCAGTTCAAGTAGGTGTTGGAACTATTTTGATTGGATTGCAATTGGTTCAGTCTTGCCACCCATCTGTGGGATGTCAGCAAGCCAGTAGATCTAAAACATCCATGTCTCACCGCCATCATAATCTGCACTAATAATAATAATCCAGACTTCCTTTGGAAACCATTCACCATCAGATAAACATGCAGCCTTTGTTTATTTTATAACAAATGATTTTCTAGATGCAACAGATATTGGACATAAAAATATTATATAGAGAAAATAATTTCAGTTTTAAGTGATCCCAAGGCATAGTCACATATGGGAGGATACCTCCTCTCTCTCTCTGTTCCGTCTGGATTTGCACTCCAGTATCTTCGCAGGCATTACGAGAGGAAAAAAACCTTCTGAATAAAGGGTGAGACAACATATTCAAAACATAGGTGGAGGTTCTAGACTTTTGTTAATGAACATTTTTTAGACAGAGAATTAAACTTGCTGGTACAGTGCCTCAAGCCCCCATTCAAAATATTTCAACCAAAGTGAGCCAATCGCCTTTCTCCTGTTCACAAAGCTCTGGAGTTCAGATTGGCAAACTACCCGCCAGGGAGGTGTCCAAGGAGGAAGAGGGAGTCCCCGTGCAGTGGGGAGGGGGTTTACCTGGCTGGGCGAGTGGGACTTCCTCCACACCTCCACTAACATATGTGGTTAGGGGCTGCATCAGCTGCTGAGGCAGAGCCGGCAGGGAGCTGAAATCGTCCATGAGGTACACCAGGCTTGGGTTAAAAGCAATCTGCTCGAGCTCTGCCTTATTCGCCTGGCTGGCTCCCACACAAAAGGTCAGGACACCCACGCGTGCCAGCGCGTTGGCAGCTTGCAAATACGAGTCCTCAGACTGCCCAGCTGTGAGCAGGAGAAGGATCTGCGGCACGTGTTCACGGATCCTGCTGCCGCCAGCTTCGGTGAAGTGGTTGGCATGCACATAGCTTAGGGCTGAGCCAGTGTTCAGGCCCAAACCCCCCTTGGGCTGCAACTGCCTCAGGTGACCAAGCAAATCTGACTTTGTCTGGTATGTGTTTAGAGAGAACTCTGTTACTGGAGTGTCACTAAATTGTACTAAACCAACACGAATATTGTCATTTCCAACATCAAGGCTGTTAACTAGGTTCATTACAAAGTCACGCACATAAGGGAAATTGGCTTTTCCAACGTTGACTGATCCATCCAAGAGAAAGATGATATCCCTTTTGTTTACGTGAACTGCAGTGAAGCACAGAAAACAAGGTGAGACATACACAACCGCGGAGGGTTTTCTCATGTGTGCCTACAACATGTGCACACATGCCAACATTTAGCACACAGAGAAAGTCAGCATGGCAAAGCATGTCCATCTCATGAAATATGGCAGACGGCTGCATGTTTTCCTCTAGCGGTGGCTGGTGTTTGTGAGGCATGTTGATAGCCAAGTTTATGAAACCAAGTTGACTCACAGAGAGATACAGCATCAAAGTTAGAATGTTTGCAACCAACAAAAATGACCAGAATTCTTAAGACAGAACATTCCTTCCCTGGAAATGAATTCTACAAGGGCGCTGTGCCTTCCTGAATCTCCCATCTTTAGGACCACAGTTGCAGCGGGGTTTACCTGTGTATAATTGGGTCCTCTGGGGCTCACCTGTATACACTTACAGAGTTTCCATCAATGGCTTAGAAGCACTTAGCCCTTGTTAACTTAAGAACATGAGTTCCTTAAGGCTAAAAAAATAAAAATAAGCAAAAGTAGGCTGTTCTCATCTTGAAGTCTTCCTTGGACTTCCTTGGACATTTGTCATTCTCTATTGCTACTTTACTCCTATCTGGAAGTTACAGCTTTGCTAGGCCATAATCCAACAGGGGACCCAGGGGACTTCCCCAAAGTAAGATGACGACATCATGATCACATGGTAAAATACAGACAGACTTCCTGCTACGCTTGGCCGAGGAATAACAAAGAATAGCCCATGAAGAATCAAAAGTATAATTTTCAAATTAGAGTATTTCCCCCAACACATTTAGTGTGTGCCTTTAAAAAAATTATTTCCCATTTCTTTTCTGGTACCTCACTGTAACTTAGACCTAACAAACAATTTTACCCTGTGTTTATCAAGTTGAACTTTGGCTATAAATGTGTGGATTTAAAGTTTTAAGAAAAATTTTTAAAGGAGAAAGAGAGAGGTTTTTAGAAGACCAGAGAGAGTCTGGAGCAAAGCGTGC